ACATATTTTTCTCATATTTAATTTTACAAAAATTTTACCTATTTATAAGTATATAAACTTATCTATTAAAAATTATTTTTTTTAAAATTCTTATTTTATAAGTTAAATTTATCCATCATATAATATCTAATAAATCATAAATAAATTTTTTATAAAATTTAAGTCATTATTCTAAAAAAAAAATCATCACGAAAAATTCTTGAAACTGTCACTCATCAACTTATAGTCAAGAGAGATGACCTTGAATGTCAAATCCCATTAAATTTGGCTTCTAATTTTCTTTCACAACATCAATATACAAGAAATACTATAAAATTGGTGTACGAGACTTATCAGTTATCTATTTATTGTTATTATATAAAATTTGTTCATTAAAGATAAATGTTAGAAGCAAAAATAACATATATGGTTTGAAACATCTTTGAGGGCTCTCTTTTCTTTTGAAAAAAATTTGCTTAGTTTTTTTATCTTAATTTTTTCACTAACTAAAATCAATTTATAAAAATGATATTATTTGATAATTATAAATATGATATAATAATATAATACAAAAAATATAAAAAAATTTAAATTTAAAAAAAATCATATATAAATTTAATAAAAATTAAAAAATATATTTTATATTTGATATATTAATACAAATTATAATATAAATAATTTTTTATATTTTTATATTTTATATAAAATAAATATAATAAAATACACAAATTATCGAAACTATCGACATGTATCATTGTTCCAATGATGTGATGTGTTTTGTCTGTTAGTTCCTCAGTTGCCTTCACGGATCCACGCGTCCACCTTATTTAGTTTTAAATGAAATGAAATAAATGCAATACAATTCCATGACGTTTGTTTTAGGGTGCAACAATTTTTCAATAAATTGTAGTAACCTTTTATTTAAGGTTTTTATTTAAAAAAAAATAAGATTGATTTTGATAAAATTAAAAAATAATAATAATATTTATTATAATTATAGTTAAAAAATTTTATTAAATTATTATTAAAAATTTTAATAAAAATTTATATTAAATAAATTTTATTAAAATTAATATTTAAATTTAATTAATAATATAATCAGCTTAATCACATCGTATCAAAGGCACTAGAAATCCAAATCCAACATTAATTTGGGATGATGAAAACTGAGCAAACGCAGCTCCTGTTGCTTCAGCACTAGGACTCGACACCAATTACTTGGGGCGGCTCCTGACTGCTGATGAGGGCAGGTCGGGGGTGGCTTATGCTTCATTAATTTGGGCATCCATTTTCTTGGGGAGATGTGTCCAAGTTCTAGTTCTTATAGTACTTTTATTTTTTAATAGGGTATTTGCTAAGGGCATTCTCTAAGTTAGTTAATCGATTTTGTCACCGAATGTTTTAAAGAAATTATTTAAGGTTAATTAATTTTTTAATTATAAAATAATATTTTTATGGTTTCTGACAGTTAATTTGTTGACTCTCCATGGAAAATGTATATTATTTTATATAATAATCTTAAAACGTTTTAAGCATTCACTAATTAAATTTTGATACTATTTATATAGTAGTAAATTTGTATTAAATATAATAGTGGATAATTTCATTCATGATCTCTAATACATTGCATGAAGATAATTTTTTTTTTAATAACATTAAAAAATGTCTTCAAAATCTTTTTTAATATAAAACGCCTTTAATTTGGATGGAAGCTAATAAATTTATGTTATTACAAAGGGTAATAAAATTGGAGAAGTTTAAACATTAAAGTTTTAAGGAAATAAAATTTGTACAAGCTTTTTTTTTTAAAAAAAAAAAAAGAGTTTTCATGCATTAATTAGATACTCAAATGAATTACCATTTGCAATTATCATACTTGAAACTTTAAACACTACATGTTGTGCATAAGCCAAATACAGAACACTCAAATTTAAGACGTCACATTTTTTTCTCCTCTTCAATTATATAAAGATGCAAATAAAATAAAATAAAAATATTACTGTTCATCATTGAATAAGGAAGACCAAACATGGTCTAAGTTTTTTGCTTTTTATTATTTATCTCTTGTTTTTCAATTTATTTTATGTTTTATTTTTTTATTAAGAAAAATTAACAGTAAAAGTATGAATCAAATAAAACTTTTATTAACTCTTTTTTTGTGGGTTTCATCATGTACGCCTTAAAACCTAGTACTATTGAGAATATATTTTGGAATAATAATTCAAAAGAAATTATTTCCAATTTATAAAAAAGGAAAATGAAAAAACAAACATTCAAATTCGTGTAATCAAGGTTGGCAACTGAAGGAAAACAGAATCTTTTTATTTTTCTTAACATTAATTCATATATAACTTTTTATCATTCATATTTTAATTGAACATATAAATTATTAGAATATTTACTTATATATTTACCTTGTCGCTCTCGCAAAATTACCTTCATGGTCCTCGAATTAGAACTTGAGATTGAAGAGTTTACAATATAAATATAATCACATAATTAATTTCTCCAATCAACTCAAATTTAACTTATTTATTATATAAAATTTGTTATTATTACTTTAAAATTCTATCGCATGATATAAACTTTATATTAACAACAATAAGCTTACCGTATGATAAACTTCAACGATGAAAATAACAAGTTTAATACGTGGCACAAACTTTACTTATAAAAATGACAAACATTATAAATATATCGCAAGGGTATATTCAAAGAATTGAATTTGTCAAATTCATTGTATCCATCATGAAACAAACTTTTTACTCGGATTGAAATGATTAAATTTTTATAAAATTACGATTCCCTCTTATAGAATAAAAACTTTTTGTTTAATAATATCATTAACAATATTCCTTTTCCTAAATTAATTAATTAGTGATGAATCGTCTTCTTTATATAAAAAAATCTATAACTATCAAAATATTCATAAATAAATCTAATGAACAATAATCCATACTAAAGTGTCCAAAAATTTATCTGATATTATCATGAAAGCAATCAAAATTTAGAAGAATCTGAAACCAATCAACCTCATTAAAATTTTAAGGCAGCTGCCTGATCACTAAGAACTTGAAGGGCCAACTAATTAAATTTTAAGCCTTGTACTCTTTTTCTTTCTTTAATAACACAACAGATTCCCAATCCTCTTATTGTTATTATTATTGTTATTATTATTATCCCTTGTAACGAGTGAACATATTCTTTTAAAAGATTAAGGAGAATAAAGACAACAGCATTTTAAACTTCCATTAACGTTTTCCTTTGTTTTAAAGTCCTGTTCTAAAACCATATCTCGACTAAAATATTTGCCTTTACATAGTTTCTGGACTTTTCTTTTTCTTGTTTTTGAAATAACCATATCAAACATATTCGAAATACAGATATGTCATATGCAAAAATTGCATAACTGATAATTTAATCAACACGCTTCTTTAACTTATTTCTGTTCATGCGAATTTATAGTCATAGAGATCTATATCTTACTTGCGAGCTATTTCTTCTGATACAAAGTTCCGCAGGATTTGCTCAAACAACTTAAAAACTAGAAATGAAGGCCTAAATACATGCCTGTACAGCCTTTAACTCCTGTGCCTCAGAGACTTCCTTGAGAAAGTTAAGACTGGTTTGAGTGGTCCGCTTGCAAGGAGACGAAGAAAAAACACAGAGATAATAAGTAAAAGATCGATTATGCTGGTTTCCTTTTGAGTGCATTTGTGCAGTGTAAAGGGCATTACCTTTTGTGCTGTTCTTATTAGATGATAGAACATATGACTTCCACTCTTCAAAAGTAACTTAATTTCTCTGTTTTCTTATGCCGCTTGTAACTTGAAAGCTGCAAGAGGTTCATGTTAGTGCTATAGTATTTTGATTTACAAGAAAATAAATGAAATTGTGCGGACCAGCGATTAAGATTATTGTTTGTCAAGAACAATATGACAAACTTGTAGTAGCTCTTTGGTCTAATATACCAATGATGGCTCTGATTGTCTTACAAATTTAAAGGCCAGCCTTACTGCTTATGGAACATCAAATATTTAGAATCATTAAGAAAGATTGCTGTAATTCTAAAAAAAAAAAGAAAGAAAGAAGAAAGACTGTTGCAAGACCACGTATGAATAATCCATGCAAAGCTTAGACATTAGAGATTTTAATCTCTTCAACAATATTAATGGAAGCCCAATCCAATAATTAGGATAAGGAAACAACAATTTCAAAGAATAAATCAGCACTTGTGAACGCATAATTCGGTTGAAAATATTGACTCAAATATTAAAAGATTTTGTAAAAGATTTATTTTAAGATCTTTTGAGATTAAGTAAATATTGGTTGATAAACAAAAAAAAATATAAAAAAATAAAAAATTTAAGATAAAAGAGATTTTTAATAAATTAATTAATTTAATAGATAAAAATTTTCATAAGATTAAATATATTAAAAAAAGATATAAGTAACATTATAGTATTTTATGAGTAAATATCTCTTAATCTTAAAATCAAAGAAAGTTGAGAGTGTCCGTATTTGAATGTATTAATTTGAGATTGTTTCATAAAATCAAAGGATAATGAGAATGTTCATGTGTTTATGTTTAAATGTTTGATTTTAAATTATTTCAAATAAAAGTATTTATAAGTATGAATTTTTTATTTTAATTTGATGAGTGTTCGTTTTATTTGGATTGATTGTCAATTTAATTGTGATATTAAAATCGAGTGAGCATTGATAATTTGATGTGTTTATAACTTTTACAATTAATTACTTGATTCTAAATTAAATGTTAAGTTAAATTAAATTAATATCTTTAATAATTTATTTTTCAATAACACTTTTATTTATTTAATGATTGATTTTGGCTTTTAATCTCACAAGTCCCAAATGAAGGAAATCAAATTAAGTTAAAATCAAGTTATTTCCAATTAACAAAAAATAATTATCTCCATCGACCGTCACTATTATACATTAACGAAGGAAATCAAATTAAGTACGTAATTAAACGATATCCCCTCAAATCTTATGATAAAATATTTCCAAAAAAAAATGTTATGATAAAAAATGTGTTCGAAATATTATCCAAAAAAAAAAAAATACAAGTCCGGTCCATCGCAATCGACCTCGGCGCTTTATTCGGAACCCCGCTTAAGACCAGACACCGTCGGTAATAAAAATTCTCCCATTAACCGTCACCAATTCTAAGAAGAAGAAGAACAGCAAAAAAGAAATGAAGCTTCAAAAAATTTAACATTCGAATCTAAAAATTGAAAATTGCGGTTGTTTTAAAACAGTGACGAATGTGTAGATCTCATGATTATTATATATATTTTTTGATTTTGTGGCAGATGAGATGATGATTTCTTCAAAGCTTTCTTTGCGATGGCTTTGTATAAATACAATGGCGAATGGTTACAAGAGAGAAGAAGCGGCTTAATCGGTGTGATTTTGAACTCGGTGGCTCGAAGCGGGCAGGGTTTTCGAGTCGGTCGTCGAGGAAGGAGGTTTCCTCGTAATTTTCTTAAGCCTAGATTCTTCCGTTGGCTACTGTTTCTTCTCGCTGTATTCTTCTTGCTCGTTTTTGCTACATTTTGCCTTAATTTACTCTCCAATGGTCAGATTCGCAGCTTTCCTTTTCGCTCATTTATTTATTTATTCTTAACCCTACATTTCTTTTTTTTTTTTGGATAATTAATTTAATTGTTTTATATAAATCCAGGTAATGAGGAAGAGAATAATCTCCTCTTATCACAAGAAGTACATGATGAAATTTCCGGCTCCTATGCCGCACTGACGCCACCGAAAAGCAAGCGTCGTAAGCAGCGTAAGAGATTTTTTTTATTTTTTTCCTTTAATTTTTATACTTTTGTTTGTTGTTAAGATAATTTGAGAAAACATTTATAATTGTTTGTGAAGGAGCAGAAGAGAAAAATCTAATCAAATTCAAATCTTTGTTTGTATTTAACATTGAATTCATTAAAATTTTATTTTCAATGCTTTCATCACTTTAAAAAATGGCTGATTATTGAGCTTTACTCATTTTAGCTCTTATGGTCTGAACTAATCATCCTTTGCCCTTTCCTTATGTTAGAGTTGTCACATTGTTTTCCTTTTGAACAATGCTAGGAGAGAATTAACATAAATGATTACTGCCATGTCTTGTAGTACAATATATCAAACCTTGACATAATTAAATCTAAACAAAGTCAGAAAGAACCTCGATAAAAGCATGAAACAATGTTTGTGAAGACTGATAAGTTTCCATTCATTTTCTTGTTCATGGCATGAGTAGTGAACTATTCTATGGAGTAATGAATTGCAACCTCATATACAAACCCCTAATTAAACCATAACTGATTAGTTGTGATTCTTATTGCCTTATGTGAATGCATTATCCAGATTTTTTATGTTGACTAAGTTGTCATTGATAATCATTTGATTTATCTTACTGATATGCTTAAATAAGTCTTTTTTTCTTGAGTAAAGATCCAAATCCTTGAAAGTTAAAACCAAACTTATTTGTGCAAATTATTTCTCATGTCTAGCACCATTTAGTGTTGTTTTTCTCCACATATTTTTGTTTCAGATTTTCCTTGTGAAGTTAAGCTTGCAGCAGCAGTTGATAATATTTTGGAGCCCAAGAATTATATGAATTTCACACAGTTTTCACTCGAGTATTTAGAGAGGGAAGTGAATCCTTTGCATGCCAACTCACTTGAGAGTAGATTTGGAGGGTATCAAACTCTCGCGGAAAGGGAGAAATCATTCTTTGCAAGGAATCAAACTATTCACTGTGGTTTTGTCAAAGGCCTGCCAGGATTGTCAAGCACTGGATTTGAGTTGAGTGAAAATGATAAGGCATACATGAATACTTGCCGAATTGCAGTATCTTCTTGCATTTTTGGAAGCTCTGACTTTCTGAGGAGACCCACAAGCAGATTGGTAAATGACCCATTCCTTATCAAATCTCATTATTTGCCATGTATGATGTGTTCATGTCCGGAAGAACTGAGAATGAGCTTCTTTATTTCAAATGTCTTGTGTTCTTCAGTGAATTGATACTTCGTTTACGCATTCATTATTCATTTAGCTACTTGATAAGAAGCATAAACTTTTCTAAAGAATATATTGTCTACATCACCTATTTCAACCAAAGAGAGAAGAATAGATACAAACTTGAAGATTTTAAGACAGAGGACATGAGGGAGTTCTTTAAAGTAAAGTATTATTGGTAAAGTTAAGCTTAAATTCATTGTAAAGGCTTTAAAGGGATAGACATACAAAACTATTTTATGGAAAAATTCACTGTCAGGAGACTTCAGTCTGATGTATGAAATGCATGGAAGTTTAGATCAACTTTCTAGTTTGGTGTCTTTCCTGTCTCTGTTTCCTTCTCATATGTTGAAAATCTTATGTTGGATGATATTATATTCTTCACTGCCTACAACAATTTTTTGTCTAGATATGTTTAATTGGGTTTAACTAAATGTTGATAAAGTAATATAGCAGAAGAAGCAACGAGGTGATTGGTTTATGGTGTTGCTTTAATTTTAGGATAATTTGCTCTACTTTCTATTCTGTCGGTAATGCTCCATGTTTTTTGTTTGTTTCAGATTAGTGAATTTTCCAAGCAAAATGTGTGTTTTGTTATGTTTGTGGATGAGCAAACACTGTCAAAACTGTCTTCAGAAGGACATACACCTGATGATAAAGGATATGTTGGTCTGTGGAAAATTGTTGTTGTGAGGAACTTACCGTACTTGGATATGCGGAAAACTGGAAAGGTGCCAAAGTTTTTATCACATCGTCTTTTCCCTTCTTCTAGGTAAGGTTTTGCCTCTAGTTTGTAAGCCTCATGCTTATCCTTCTAAGTCTGACAAAATCTTTAACTTAAATACTATGATTTAATGTTTATTTCAGGTATTCAATCTGGATTGACAGTAAGATGCGACTTAATGCTGACCCAATGCTAATCATTGAATTCTTTATGTGGCGAATGAGAGCAGAGTATGCCATTTCAAACCACTATGATCGCCACTGTGTTTGGGAAGAGGTTTTACAAAATAAACGTCTGAATAAGTACAACCATACAGCCATTGATGACCAGTTTAAGTTTTACCAGTCTGATGGCCTCAGAAAGTTTGATCCTTCAGACCCAAATACTCCTCTTCCAAGTTGTGCGTATCTTGGTGTCTTTTTATGTTTGGATTATCAGCCTTCTCTTCTTATCTTAGCTGTCTTGTATTCCAGGAACTGATTGTGCTCAATGAACCCTGCAGATGTGCCCGAAGGTTCCTTTATCATCCGGGCCCATACACCAATGTCAAATTTATTTTCATGCTTGTGGTTCAATGAAGTAGATCGATTTACCTCGCGTGACCAACTAAGCTTTGCCTACACTTATTTGAAGTTGAGGAGAATGAATCCAGATAAACCATTCCATCTAAATATGTTTAAGGTGTTTTTTACATTTTCATTAAACTATAGTATGTTATAAGATATTTGTCACCGCATTGCTTGCTGCAGGGGCATGATGTTGCTAAAGTATGGTTTCTACATAGAATTTGATCGATTTCCTTTTTAAAGCTTCTCAAATATTATGTTTGAGCTGTACTCTATGTGTTAGCAAACTCTTGTTTATCAAATGGTTTATTTGACATCTGAGATCTGTAAAATAAGCTTCTTATAGATGACTGCTGATAGCCATTGAATCTAATTGCCTCTCAAATATTATTGTTATAAAACATTAATATGTAGGTGCCCTAATAAATATGGTTTGCTTTGAGATTTGATATTTCCAACTAACAAGTGCCTTCCAGTTCATGTGAAATCTTCTTGAAAGTAGTTCTGTTGCTGAATGATTTCTAAATCAATTGCATGCAGCTTAACGATTTTGAGAAAAATGGAGCCTTTGAAACCTTTATGTATGTGGGATTTCCACTGGTGGGAGGATGAGAAAATTAAGATCATTTGCCCTAAGAGAATTGAAGCAACTTATTTTCCCTTTGACATTGTTAGAATCACGTATATGCCATGACAACACTGTAATAAAAAAAATAGAAAATCTTCTTTTAATAGAAAATATGTGCATTTCTTCTTGTGCTGTACACAACACAAATACATGATATGCATGAATAACACATTAAGTCGTTAATCACTATAAAGGTTACTATGTTAAGGATTTATATTTGTATATATTAACTCTATGCAGGATTGTCAGCGCAGAACACTAGCAAAATTATTCAGGCATCGGACGGTGCCATCTTTCCCACCTCCTTGACCAATCTGGTATGATGAAATATGGCTAATATTGCTTGTATAATTTGTATCTGAATGCATCCTTATTACATAGAAGCAAAGTACTAACTCGAAGTTTAGAAGTTAATGGGTCTGTCTTGTCCCTTTTATACTTTTAGGAACTGTTGTCCAGCTGTAGCTGGTGATGGCAACTTCCACCTGGACTAATTTAGCTCAATGTTGGCATTCATTTGGTACCAAGCAAAATAATTTTACTTTGACTGTATGTCCGTATCTATTAGTCAAGAAAATAACAAGTATGTAACCAATGCTGATGGTAGATATTTAAAGTTGATTACATGATCTTCATTTTTTAACTTAGGTCCTGTTGACCTGCTAATATATTATGCTGCCATAAATTAAGGACATTTTAAATGTAGTTTGCTTAGTGAAAATCTCTTAAATTTGACTGCAAATTGGTTCATAATATCATTTGCTTAGGCACCAATATGATTTATTTGTGAGATAAGGGTAATTTGTTTAGATATAAGCAAGCTCAAACCAGCTAGTTGCTGGTTGGAGACTATATGGGATAAATGGCATTTTAAATTAGATGGCAAACTTAACAGGAGCATAATTGTTAGGCTGGTTACAAGTAACATGGATGATTCAGTGAAGAGACGCTTGAATTCAGTGAAAATGTATCTCAATTGTCCTTAGAAACTACTTTTGATAAAATTATAATCCTGAAGTTCTCTAATTTTCATTTACAGAAAATTATGCTAGTTTTTCTGGAGCACAAATGCATTCACAGCAACTCTCTATCAAGTACACCCACAACCCTTTTTTCTTCCAAGAATCTTATTTCATGGATTTTTCAAGCGTGAAAGGAATTAAAAGTGGACCAGTTTCTTCAGATAATTGTAAGTGCTTTATACTATTGGCACTTGGCAGAGTGGACTTATGCCGAAGAAATGGAACTATTTGGCCTTACCAAATGTTTCAATGTGGTTCCAAGATAATAAAGATCTAAGTTTATTATTGTAGGCTGTATTGAGAATTATAGGCTACACGTGGAGTGAGGCTTAAGTTTATCGATTTTTTTTTTTAATAATCATTGGTGTCTGATTTGGAGATGATAGCACACTGTCACTTGGAGAAACTACATCGGGATTATCTGCCATTCTGTCTTGCTTTTAAGTTCCAAGCCAACTCCCAAATCCCCTTCCCAAGAAAGAAGAGAATATACATATATAAAATTCATATTGCTTACAAGCTTCTCATAACACTTGGTAATATTCTCATATTCTTTTAAATTTTTTTTTTGAAGTTGAAGCCCCTGGTTTTCTGTTGATAGCTTTTGGTATTGTTGTGAAACAGCCAAAAATGCTGGTTTCAATCGTATTTCTCAACATTTGACACTTGACAATTTGTATGCATGCTAGCCATGCCGTTTTTGTTTGCTACAGAGGGGATATGCTGTTTTCTCTTGGAAAGAAGGGTAACATTTAAATTCTGTTGATGAAGATTTTGTACCGCCTGCAATGTAATGCGTGTCATAACTGTTTCTGAGAAGCCAAGTTCTGCCTGTTAGTTTTACTTACCAATTCTCGTAATTTTTATGTTGTTCGCTTGTTCTACTCCTTGAAACTCTGTAAATATCATCTTGTTTTAGCTGCTGAAAAGCATTTCCATTTATTTATCTCTTGTTTTACATATAATGGATTTGCCTGGAACAGCGGCCTGGGAGTGGTATTACTTACCAATCCAATTTTTTCTGCCTTTTCATTGGGATTGGTTCTTGTTTGTATATCCTTATTCTATATTCTCTCAAATTCTCATTTTGTAGCTGCTGCCCAGCTTCTTATTTATGTGGGAGCCATAAATGTTTTAATCCTATTTGCTGTGATGTTGCAAAAATTTTATCAACACTTTGCCTGTCCCTGAGGCTATACAATGCAGCTTTGTTTTGAGATGAAAAATTGAACAGTGTAAATGCTGTATATGAGAGTTGGAGGGAACTAAAAAAGCTATCATAAATTTGTGCTTATTTAGTTCCCTCTAATGTCTCATGTCCAGCCTTGACGTAGACATTTATTTTGTTAAAGTTACCCTCGTTCAGATGGATAAATGAAATATGTAAATGCTGTACGTGGGAAGTGGAGTATACCATATAAGAAAGGCTGGTCAGCCTTTATGTTTATATGGTTGGCTCCAAATCTAAATCCAATATCTCATGTCTGAGCATCTGATTTATTCAATCTATGAGTTATCATTATAGGTATTCATGAGTTAAGTTCATGTTTAGTATTAATAATTTATATCTTTGTTTAAATCTCATTGGACTCAAAATTTTGGATCTTAAAATTTTTTTAAGTCAGATCTAAATTAAAAAATAAATCTCAAATTTATTCATTAAATTTAATTTATTTAATAAAAATTTTTAAAATGACTAAATTAAGTTTAATGTGATTATATTTAATTTATAAATATATATAAATCAAAAATAAAAATTATATAAACGTAAAAATTAAGTTTAATGAAATATGTATAATTTTTATTTTTATTACATGTGAAATAATTTATATTTAATTTATATATAAAAATAAAAATTAATATATATGTGTATTTAGGTCCAATCAAGTTTAGGTTTTAAGCTTTTTATTCAAATTTGGGTTCAAAATTTAAACAGATTTAAAAATTGTCAAAATTTATTTAACGAGTTTTAATTTTTTGTCTAAATTTTTAAAAAATTTGAATAAAATTTTGGATTTGAGCGGATAATTTGACTTTTAAACAAATTTAGTTATCAATAATAGAATTAGAATTCTCCTGTTTCAAATAAATTAAAAAGAAAAAGTAAGCAGTTATAATTTATAGTCTTTTCAATGAAGCTTCCATTTAAAACTAAATAAACTATAAAACATTTCTAACCTAAATAAATTAAAATTTTTAAAACTGTTACTAAATACTTATTTAAAAATAATAGAAAATAAAAAATAATTTAAGCGCAAGGAGGTTTAAAATGGAAAAAAACAAAAGAAAAGTAGTACTGGGAAGTATGGCGTAAAAACAGTTGAGGCCTGGCCTAGTATGAATCGCCCAAGTAGAAGAAAGCAGTCTGGTTCAGAAAATGGAAGCTTGCTTGACTAAATGTGGCCATAGCAACGGTTTTCTGAGAGCACTTCGCTCCCTTCGCCGCTCTTCCATGTCCATTCACTCTGGTTTTTTGTGCTCTCTCTTTCTTTTTATACTTCAATAAACCAAAAACCTTTTGTTTTGTTTTTTGAAACCCACTTTAAATTTCTTAATTTGGGATCTTTTGCAGTTAGAAATTCCGTTAAAAAAGCATACGATGGGCTGCTGTTAGACGCCGCGGGCACTCTCTTGCAATTGCCCAAACCTGTAGAAGAAACTTACGCTTCCATTGGAGCTAAATACGGTCTCTTTTTAGCTATCAATTTTTTTTTCTTAAATTTAGAGACTTTTCAATGTGGGTTTTGCGTTATTTCTTGATTTTACGCGTCAATTATGGTTTTCTAGTGTTTAGTTCTATTTAAATTTGACAAGGTTTTTTTTTTTTTTTCAGGTCTGAAAGTGAATTCAGCTGAAATAAAGCAAGGATTTAAGAGGGCTTTGGCTGCACCATGGCCTGAGAAGCTCCGTTATGAGGTCCCTTGTTTACTCTCTTGCTCTTTTTATTGTCTCAACTGAATGTTGGGAACTGGATGTGTGATTGTATTCGTATTCTTGATTTTATTAAGGAGAATGAATCTGTCATCAACTGTTCAAACACACTTTCATAGTCCATTCTCTTTTACTATATTTAATTTAGTAAACTATTTTCTTTAAATGGAATGCATGGTATTGATCAAAGAGGTTTTTGATGTGCTTGGACGTGCATGCATCTGCCAGTAAGTATTGACTATGACTGATGTATGCTATTCTAGTACATGGCACTGACCTGAAAAGTCTATCTTTTGTAATTCATTTCTTTATAAAGGTGGTGAGTCTTTCATTTTGCATTATTGATAATCAATTAACTGAAAAGTGTAACAATATTCATTACATGTGAGTTTTTGTTGATAGCTTCTTCCGGGAATACCCAGCTTTTTTCCTTTTCCTTGTTGTCCATTCAATTTGGATGTTTTGTGGCAGACTTAGGTTCCCTAGCTACATTCTAGACTCGAGTATCATTACTCATAAGCTGTTACTGAACACCACTGTATTTTCTCGTGCTGTATTGTTGATAGGGGGATGGAAAGCCATTTTGGAAACTTGTTGTCGCCGAAGCCACTGGTTGTTCCAATGACAATTACTTTGAGGAAGTCTATGAGGTAATGGTATACTTTTTTTTTTTCCATTTTCATGTTCCTTGGTCTGACAGCATTGTAAACTACTGTAGTAATGAAAAGAATTTCAAGAACTTAAGCAGCTGCTAATAATTAGTGACTGTATCAAATGCAAGTAATTAGATCATCAGTTCATTTTATGTTGAATCGTTTAATCTTAAGTCTCATTTACTACCTTTTTCAGCATTATGCACATGCTGATGCATGGTCTCTTCCAGATGGAGCTTCTGAAACAATATTCCTTATCAAAAATGCTGGAGGTATTCATCAAGTATTCCTCTTCTTTTTCTTTCACAACTAATAATAGTAAACATGGAATGGTGAGAATAGACTCTTTTCCCCCCCAATTTATTTCTTATGTGGTGAGTGATGGCACAGTTAAAGTGGCTGTTGTGTCCAATTTCGACACCCGATTAAAGAAGATATTGAAGGAACTCAACGTAATAGATCTGTACGTATCAAGTACTTTGTTGGTGCTGTTGTCTTGTGGTTCTGAATATTGAGCAACTTTTTTTGACATATCAATTATTCATGAGGTACCTTACAAATGTTTGCCACTTTAATCAGAAAGAACTAAACGTTCCACTTTTGTTTTTCCCCTTAATTAGCGATGGTCATATCTTTTTACTCTTAAAACTTCTTGGGATACATCTTTTGGTATAATTGAGATGGATGTTTTATTTGTATATCTAGTTTAGTTCCTCTATGCTCAGCATGTGATGGCTCATACAAAGAAAAAGATGATTGAGACTTTGGTTTCATACCTCCATCTTGTTTGCCACTTCTACTTTCAACCATGATCTATTTTACTTCTACTTTACTTTTGATTTGTAGTCCATTTTCAGGTTTGATGCTATAATTATATCGTCAGAGGTTGGTTATGAAAAACCAGATGCAAGGATATTTAAAGCTGCTTTAGGTTTGTATTAAAGCACCAAAGATAAATATCGTACTCATTGGTAAATCATACATTTACTAGTACCAAAAAGATAATACATTTACTACCATGCCCTGCTTGGCTAAATTTTCCATCTCATGACTAGCATGGTTATCAATTTGTGTTAACATATTGTTTTTGTTTAAAAACTTGAGAACGATGACTGTTATATATTTTGCTGTCTTCTGCTTAAATATCTAGTTGCTATTTGTTTCACTACCAATGTTTTTGCTTGTTCCATATGTTATGGAATAATGGATGCATTCACTGTTTTATATTTTTTCAGGAGCAAAGATCTACAATCAAGGAACATTTAAAGTAATAACCACATAGAATATCTATGATTAATTCCATGTTTCTCCACAGTGTGCTAGTATTGGGAATTTTTAATTTAATTGGTCAAGCTGGTTGCTATTTTCCCTTACAATTGCATGATAAAGTATGATAATTCTTTAAATACAATAACACATAAAACATAGCGTGGTGCTTCAATTTGCACAAAACATAACAGATGACTCTCTACTTTCCCATATGTTCCGAAAGCAAACTCTTTTTATTTTTCTATGACATAAGATGATTTATTTTAAGCCCATCAATAATCCAAAGAAAAAAATGAAGATAAACCCTTATCGAACCATTCCTCAAAAGATAATCGAAATTGTTGTAGATCAAATTGATTTGGAGGCTGGCAAGGTGGTACATGTGGGGGATGATCTAAAAGCAGATAAGGTGGGAGCCAATGCTGTTGGCATCAACTGCTGGTAAAGTTTACTTTCCACTTGTATAAATACTAGTTTCTTTCTGTGTATTTAGATGCATGGTGTTCTTTGAGTTTGCTACCAAAATGAAACATCACACACTTTAACTTGCATTCAAGTGCTTCATATAATCATATTTGAAACTGATGGCTATTCTACTTTCTTCCTATATGTATTTTGAGTCAAAACATTTAGTGAAAACATTTTCACTCATTTAGTGGTATATCTAATTTGTCCATTACGATTGTGTAGATGACACTATCCATTTATCTTAACAAAGCAGGTTGTGGGGGAAAGATGTAAAGACATTCGCAGATATACAGAAGTGTATCCTCATCTCAGATTCATAGCTTGTAATGTTTTAGGTCTCATATGGAAAATAAAAATTAGATTGGAATGCCAGACCCCTTTGCATAATTTGCATTGATACAATGCGGACCATCTCTACATTTAGCACCTCTTTGATGGTGCCATTGATTTGACCTGCATGATTGTTGCGAGTGTAAGGGATGGTGATTTGACCTCTTTATATTGTCAAAGGATTCTTAGTTCTTTATTGTCAAAGGATTTGTAGTTATATGGATTTTGGAATTTGGGATCCATGTATCCTAGCTTTTATGGTTGTTAAGCACACCAAAATTTTGTTGAGATGTAAACTGCAGAATGAAGAACGGAAATTATGTTCAGAGATGTTTGCTTGTTTAACTGCAATAGAAATATTTGTGCTTTGCCACCTGAACGATTATCACAGTGGGTGAGCTGTTCAGGAAATTATGCCAAGAAATGCAACCAATTGCCAAATTGCAGTTTCATCGACTCTAGTAATGCCAGTAGTATAACAAGGGATTATGCAACAGATTTTCTCACAAAAGGCTGGCCGAACCTACCAAATATATAGGGGCCAGTCCTTGGGGTGGGTGCAGAACCGACGGTAGGATGTAAAACAGTGCAATGAAATAGGAAAAGCAGAAACAAATTGATATCCATTCAAACAAATGGAGCTTGCATAGTATGTATAAACAAATTTTCACTTACCAACTAGTGTACAATTTCATTTGTCAACAATAACCTTCCGAACGGAAACATGAGACCTATTGAATCCATGACTTTAGGCTAGATACCGATACGATTTCCTATCATTGTCGTCCCTTTCCAAGAATTCACGCTCAATAAGAGACTCAATCCGTTTCTTAATCTCGGTTGGATTGGCCAAGAACCGCGACTGCAACTGCTTTGTAACCTCAGCTATTAAATTGTTGTGATCCAGCACCCTCCTTGATTTCATGATCCTAACTATAGCAGCTTCAATCTGCGGCTTCCTGTCCTCCTCCACTCTTTGTCGGGTCTCCTGCTTTTCAGGTTCCGATTCCTTCTGTGCAACCACAGTTCCAATCTTCACTTTGTAGAATTTGCTTGTGAACTTATCATTGACAAAAAATGCATCATCCTCACCAATGTCTTTACTCATAGGTTCTTTCCTAAGAACATTCTTTTCCTTCACACATGCCATTGACTGCAAGCACCTTTTCAAGTCTGAAGCAGGAATCTCAGTGGCTTGTTCAATCTCCTTGTAGCTAAGCCTATCGGCATTGTTAAAAAGCATCAATACACACATTTGGTAAGTTGAAACATTCAACTCATGCTTCTGACCCTTCCCGAAAATTGCTTTTATATCTGCTGTCCCCATGTTAGTTTGCCAGGACAACCTCCGACCAGTGTGGGTTCCAAGATAATATGAGCGAAACTTCTCACATAGTGCTGACATTTCAGCAGGCAGGTTGCAAGTAATACTAGGCTGAGTGGGCCAAGACCCTGTTGTTAGAACCAGAACAACTAGGGTAGGGCCATCAGTTAGATCAGGATGGCATGCATAAAACCCTTGCATTGTGTCCTGGGAGGTCTTCATGTCCGTAAACATGCCTTCTAATTTCGAAGTAAATTGATATCCACATTCGGTCTTAAGCTTGATTATCAGACTTCTCTCTGCATCATCAGATACGGTTTTGCCTGTCAAAAGCCGCTTAGCTAAGTGCTGTTTGTAGTACTTTTCAAACACATCCTTCTCCTGCAGGTAGCGGAACAGCATCATAACTTTGTCAAGAATTATCTCCACATCCTCCTCACTGACTCCTTTCAAACCTTTTCGAAGCTTGTCATCCACAAACAAGGAAATGAATTCAGGAGAACGGGGATTCAAATTAATGAAATATTCAAAAGAGGAGTTCAGAGCATTTTGGAATGTCTTGTCATTGCTGAATGCTTGGCTAATGATATTATCATATTTGTCTTTTTCATCCAAGAGCCGCTGAACAAATTCCACAGGATCTTTCAACCTTTCTGCATCAGTAACCAGCTGTTTACCTCTTTCTCTGAGGTGAGAAGTCATCACATCTCGTATTGTTGACAGACCATTAGGAACTCTTCTAAATAAATTGTACATTCTACCCAAGTCTTCATATTTGTCATCAAGAAGCATATTTACCAAACCAGAGTTCTCCATATGGACTAGTCTCATCATGTGGTTAGCAATCATCTCCTTCTCCACCACATTAGTTATCTTGGCTTCACTCTTGATATCCAAGTAATGGGTAACTCTCTCAATTTCTTCATTTAGACGTATCTCAACTTTCTTCAGACAGTCCCCACAGTCACAGCACTCAATAAATTTCTGAGATTCGCCCTTATAAAACTCAGCAGAAACCTCTAGAAATGGCTTCTCAAAGTCCTCCTGGTAAACAGAAGAACCCAAATCCATAAGCATCTTCATTATATTCCTCATCAAGCCCCGGTCTATAACTTCACCACTTCGCTCTCTATGTACTAGTTCAAGAAGCGTGATCAGAAGCCTTGACTGTATTTTGCTGGAATGTATAATATTGTCCCTCCACAAGTTGAGTCCCAGCTCGTGAACAGGGGTTTTATGGGTATTTGGGATATAAGTCCTGTCCATGTACATCAATATGTCTCGAATCATTTGCAATGCCTTGTTGTGGTCATTCCATTTCCTGTTCAGCTCTTCAAGAAACAAATCACCTTGAGCAGCCTCAATAGATTTTGATATTTCTTTGAGGTGTGCAGTCATAGTTGTAACAAGTCCAGAGTACAGCTTTTCACCAAATTTGTTCAAAACCATATCGTATGCATGCCTGAATTCATGTCACAAAGCCAATATCATAAGGACAAGATCTAAACTTTGATCAGCTCATGTGAAATTTAGTCAGGAGAAATGGCAAAGAGAGATCTGTTGCAAGCACATAACAAAATTTTAAGATTTTACACATAGATGCAAACTTACTTTATGAAGAGAAAACTATGGGCAAGTGAAATGACAATAACTGAACTGACCCTGAACTCGTTTTGTATTATGACTTGGTGAAATACTTTAAGCACACAACATGGTAAAGGCTAAATGCGATTATCCAAAAGCAAACAATGAAAGGAAAAAAAAATTAATAAATTCAAATATCATTTGCTTGCTAGCGAAGGCAAGGAAGAAAGAAGCATATATATCAAAGAAAGACTCAACCAGTTACTACTCGAAATTCCATATCAATAGTGAATTTATAATAAAACCATTTTATTGCTTTCACCACAAGCAGGATAAGAATCTTCTTTTCTTTTATTTTCTTTCCAACAAAGAAACTGATTCCCGTCCATAATTAAGATAAAGGGTCTAGGGTTTCAGAGACATAAAAACTTTTGTCGCTTGCTGAGGAAAGGCAGAAAGATGCACAAAGAAAAGACTCTAATAAGATGCTTTCTAACCAAAATTCATATCAATAACAAATTTATATAAAACCTTTTCAGCTTCTATGTCATCGCTATTCATCCCAAACACTAAAAGAATCTTTTTTCCTTTCCCTCATCTGTTAAGCTTTTTATTTTATTTTTGGAGAGGATTGATGTTTGGAGTTTCAAAGATCTGATTCCATGTTAACTTTCCCTCTTTCTAATGAAGAAATGCTCCAATTTCTAGTCTGTTGTCACTCTTCATTTGTAACATGATTGTTCTATAACATAAGCACCAATGCAATCAAATGAAGCCATTGCTGGCAAAAATGAAATCCATGTATCCAGCAGAAGAATTGATGCAACTATTTGAAATACCAGGAAACTTTTCTCTGGCATAATACATAATAAACATATGATAATCTTGAACATACACAACAACGTGCTTAGTTCAAAAGTAATCAGAAAACTGGATGCAAGTGCAACTATTTGATCAACATCAACTACAACTGCATACAAAACTACCTCGGTAGCTCTTTTAATGATCCCTCTTAAAAAACAAAATCCGAATCACTGTTACCATAACCTATAAGAATAATACAGATAAACAATTTTAACTTTTTATAATTTACGGAATCTAATACCAGAAACCAACCGATATTTCCAGCCAATCACACCGGCATAAATACAATCCACCTTAATAGTCAAATATGCCAAAACTGCCCAATAGAAAAACACTAAACCGCACTAAGATCATCCGCGGACAAGTCAATTGTTCCCAACATCTAAGTTACTAAACCACCATGAGAATAATTCAATTAAATCTCTCCAAGCTGATTACCAGTCATGTTAAAAAAGCATTTTCAACATCTTCATAACCTAAATAGTATCCAAAATCAATACAATCTAAGGGATCACGGATGAGACTGTTCATAGTTTTAAATCATTGAAACACAAAACCCTAATTGAAAATAACATAACATATTAGGCGGCAAGAAACAATCACGTAGTGGAATTATTATAAATTAATTGAAAATAAAAGAAGCAGAAACCTGTAAAGCTCTTCAAAACTGAGGCCACTAGCATTGTGATTGTAAATCTCATGGATTGCATGTTCAAGAATGTTCCAAGTCTTGTCTGCATATTTCGGATCCACCACGACCCGGTGCTTGAATGCTTCTATCTGGAAATTCCTTTTCTTTTGATTATTCATTTTCCTTCTTGCCTTTCTTTTTAACGTCAAATCCGCAATCCGAATCAAAAGAAAACCCGCCCGAAAACAGACCGAATCCAAAAAAAGAAAACAAAGGACCAAACAAAAATTAAAACGATCTATAAAACCGTCCGGTTTTTTAAAAAAAAGAACTTTGTATTAGGCGGAGACGAGCGATTGACCGATAAATTTTCGCGTACGGACGATGGCGCGGGATTAGGTTTTGAAAATGGAAAGATTAAAAATATAAAGAAAAAGAAAGATTTGAACGGCAGGGCCTAAAATGAAAAATGAAATTAATTTTGGATGAAATTAAAATGAAACAACAGATAATTAGATATGTATATATATATATATATAGTTATGAATTAAAGACTATTTTTTTTATTATGTTTGGGATGAAAATTACTTTTTAAAAAATTAAATAAATATAAAGAAAGGAAGAGGGAAGGGTTAAGAAGATTTCGCCCTTTTCGGTTAGTTTTTGGATGCCGTTTGGGAGGAGATGAACTCTCTAAAAGCTTTTTTTTTTTTTTTTTCTTGTGCAAGAAAAAACGCTTTCCTAAAAATGGCAAATTTCATTATTTTTGTCTTTCCAATTTCTGTAACTCTATCTCCCATCAACCGACGTCGTTCAGTCCTTCGGACTAGCCGTTCTAATCCAAATTCCCCTTCTACCCCTAACCGGTTATCAGTTTTTTTTTCTTTTTTTTTTTTCCAAATCAGAGATGAAGTGATTTAAAACGCATCCTTACAAGAACACCTTACAGAAACCGCGCCTTGTACAAAATCCCCCAAGGAAATACTAGATTCTTCACTTTCGTCGGCAGATTTATCATCTGAAAAGCCTTTGTTTGGTGGGGCAATCTCAACTGTAACTAATCCCCTCGTGTTTAACGTTGTACGTTGTTGTAG